GCTGTGTGGTCCATCTGCGCTGTGCGGGCAGGGAGGGAGGCGGGAGGAGGAGATGCACGCGATTCTCCATACTCCTCAGTGCCTGGGAAGTGGTAGCGAGGTGTGGACGTAGCCCTAGACAACCAAGGGTTTTAGGGTTGACACTGCTCTTTCAGCTTGCTGATGCTACTTTGAACCCAGTTCTCTGCCATTTCTGGTGATGAAATAACCAGAGGTCCTCTCTCAACTGACCACAAGTCCATCTGCAGAGATTACCACCTCTTCTTTAAATGTACACTATGCTCACACACCACAGGCACCAGAGAGCAGTGCCTTTTTCCACCACCTATGGAATTTCCCCGTCCACCTGTCCTCCAGCTCAGCCAGAGAACACATTCTGCTCCCAACCACTGAAGCCTCTTCTGGCTCTTCCAATTCTGCAGGTTGTCTTCCTTTTTGAAAACCCATCACTGTCACCTCAAAAGGAGGAGTTAGGGTTAGAAAGTAAAGCCTTCCCAATTCTTCCCAAGAGCAAAGAAGTCCCATGACTCCAATGCGAGATAACTCTTCACTGCTGTGGCAAAATACATAAGCTTAAAAGGAGGAAAGATCTCTTTGTTTCAGAGATTTCATTCTATGACCAGTGTGCTTCGTTGTTTTTGGGACTGTGGCAAGGCAGAGCATCATGGAAGGGAGCAGTTGGTGGAGAAAAGCTGCTCAGCTTATGGCAGCCAGGAATCAAAGACAGATTGAAGAATGGGCCCGCTTCCCAGCACCCCTGCCAGGGCATGCCCTCCAGTGTCCTAACTTCCTTCCTCCTGGTCCCACCTCCTAAAGGTTCCAATAGCACCATCTGCTGGGGGCAAAACCCTTGACATCTGAGCACTTGTGGAACATTTAAAATCCAAATTATAACACTTCTGTTCTACAAAGATTCAGTTACTGTTTTGGTTTTCTACTGCTTTTAATAAATTACTGCAAATATAGTGGCTTAAATAACATAAACATATTGCCTTATAGTTCTAGAGGTCAGCAATCTGAAATGGATTTCACTAGGATAAAATAAAAATAAAATAAAATAAAACTATGCGCACCTGGAGACTCTATGAGGAAAATCTTTTTCCTGTTTTTTCCACTTCTAGAGCCCACCTGCACTCCTTGCCTTCTAGTTTCTTCCCAACATCATACCACCTTCAAGTCTCTCTGTCTCTCTTTTCCCCTCTTTTCTTTCCCTCAATATATCTCCTTCTCTAACTTGACTCTCCTTACATCCACCTTGTAAGATTGCTTAAAATTATGTTAAGCCCATCCAATAGCCCAAATGATTTCCCCACTTCAAGATCCTTAACTTAATTATATCTGCAGGCAGTCAGTAAACTCACAGGTTTCAGGGATTTCAATGTGCACGTTTTTAAGGAGCTATTATTCTCGCTACTGCAATGGGAGGGATGCAACACCACCTTCCTAACTTCCTACAACTAAAAGACCAATTCCAAATCATTAAATCAGAAGATTACTCTGTAATATTAACCATGTTTATCCAGTGGGAGCTGAAATCCCTTTCACTCCAGATCCTTACATTAGGAGTTCGTTGGTATATCTAGTGAGATAAAGCTTCTTGGCTTAGTCTTACTACTGATATTTGTTCCCTTACCCACATACTCAACATTTCCAACCAGTAGGATCCATGAGCAAATTTCCCACCTTCAGAGCTTTATGAGCTAAACTCCCTTGCCTGTGTCTCTCAGCAACTCCACGGTGACACCCGGTTTGTGCACTTAGTTCTGAGCTCAAAGTTCTCTCAGTGCAAAGACTTACGGGTGACAGTGGAGACTGTTGAGCAGCTCCCACAACTGTGCACTACAGCAACCACCACCACGCTTTCAAAATGTGCTTTTCCAGAACGAGATGGCTTGCAAGTGTGAAACACACACCATGTGTCAAGTAGTACAATAAGAATGAGAAATAATTTAAAGACCTGAGAAGAACTTAAGTGCAACTTAAGAAAGCAAACTGAAAAGGCCGTGGGCCATATTATTACAAGTGCTGGACATTCTGGAAAAGGTAAAATGACAGTGAGTTTTAAAAGATCCGTGGTTGACAGGGGTTGGAGGTAGGAAAGGGTGAAGTGGAACACAGGAAATTTTTAAGGTGAAATTATTCTGTATGATACTACAAAGATGAATAAACATCATTATACATTTCTACAGGTTTGATAGGCTATTCAACACCATGAGTGACCCCTAAGGCAAACTACAGACTTTGGGCAGTAATGTTAAGTCATGCAGATTCATTTAATGTAACAAATCTCCCACTCTTGTAGGGGAGTTAGCCGGGGAGGCTGTAAGGGGCAGGGCATGTTTGAGAACTCTGTACCTTCTATAATTTTTCTATGTACATAAAACTACTCTAAAAATGATGTATGTTTTTAAATAAAAAATGAAAGATACCTCATTGATGTTTTTGTCAGTTATGTGCATAAATGATAATATCATGTATATATTAGCTTAGATGAAATGTTAAATATTATCTAAGTTAATCTCACGTTCCTTTTTACTTTTTAATGTGACTATGATGAAAAATAAATGATATAAAATTATTCTATAAATTCCATAAAATTATATGATTCTACAAATTGTGCAATTGTATGAAATTATATTTGTGACTTTCATTTGTTATTTTCTTCATATTTCAATCAGTCAGCGCTGGTCTGATCCCTTGGTTTGGACAAAGGCTTCTTTCTTCCATAGGCCCTGCAGAGTACCAGCTGTTTTATTCATCTGTAACCCCATGGCAAGCACAGTACCTGGTAGATTATGAATGTTTTAGCCAACGTTTGCTGAATGAATGAGAGACCACATGGATAAGCACTTAAGCAGGTAGGGTATGGTTCTCTGACACTGCAATTTTCTCTCTACTTGCTCTCTCTCTCTTTCCTCAGAACCACCCACATCCCGAACCCTCTATTCTTTCTGTGAAAGGAACTCATGGGAATTTCAAACAAGATTTATTGGGATGTAGAAGGAAAGGAAGGTGTCCAGCAAGAGATGGGACTCTTGAAGTAGTTTTGAATTGGCATACAATACCCAAGTCCTTTCTCTGGCCTGGGGTAAATCACATCACCTCTTTGAGCTTCTGTTTTCTTTCATGCAGAACAGATATAATAACACTGCAGTAGGTCTTCTTCCCTGAGAAACAGGATTTGTTATAGGGCTTAACATCTATGGAGAGGTTGAGGGGTGGGGATCCAGTGATGAGAGGAGTCGAACTACTTAGCAATTACAACCGAACACCTCAGCCAGTGGCAAGATCCTCAGCTGTCTGGAGTTGAGGTGACCCCACAGAACCCTCTTACTTGGAAGGATGAAGCCTGGGGCCAGTTACTGGATGCAAGCTGATTGCAGGGTGACCTGGGGCGAGGCAGTCCCCTTCTATCTCCTGGGTGTAATCCCTGGGGAGGGACTTGGTCGGAACTGTGAGCCAACAGTACTCCTAGAAGCCTGAGGAACGAGTGCTTCAGTCCCGAAGAGGAGAGCTGGGCAGCACAAATGCCAAGCTTTAGGGTAACCGAGAGTATAAGATTTGACAAAGTGCACAAGGTGCGTGACACTCACTAGCCTCTCAGTAAGTGGTTGTCAGCGATATTGTTATTATTGTCATAATTATTCTGGTATAAAGAGCGGTTTTGAAGAAGCTAATAGATAAAAGGGTCAGCAAGTAAAATCGAAGCAGCCTGAAGATCTAGGAAATTTAGAGGGAATAATAATCCTTGGACAGTTCGGAGGATTTAGAAAAGCCTCTAATCTGACAGGCACTGACAGTAGATTAGGCCCTGAGAAAGCTGCCAAGGCTGCAAACAAAGGGACCCGTGCTTTGAAGGGAAAAGCCAGAAGGAAGCAGAGGTTTCAACAAAGCCACTTTGCATTTGAACTGTGCCTGGTTTATGGTTCTCTAGAGCCAAGGACATGGCAGCAAACATGGGAGCACCACTGCTCTGTTTTCCTGTGGCTGTTTCGATCTGCTGTCTGTGTTCTTGCTAGGGTCGATGCTGCCCGTGACTTGACCAATTGTTGGCAGCACGAACTCTGGGGCACAGGCATCTGCTGCACACTTCAAATTTAAACATCAGAGATTGAGGTTCCTTGACCCTCATGCTTGGCCCCACTGGGGCAGCCTCTGATCTGTCTCTGAGAAAGTGGGGGCTCAGCAGAATGTGCTGCCGGATGCATCAAGAAGTCTACAAAATCCAACAGGAGCTTGTCCCCAAGCCGTGGCCTTTCTGTCTCTCCCAGCAACTCTAAGAGGTCTGGCTCACTGGATGCACTTGTCATTGGTGAGGATGTGAGGGACAATTGTGAGCTCTTTGGGGCCACAGCTTGTTGGTTTCATTTGTCATTGTATCGTCAGAATTTAACGTGGTGCCTGTTACATAGTAGAAGCTCAATGAATGAATGAATTCATCCCCAGAGCATACGGAGAGGTTAAACGCACCCTCCTGTTTTTTTGGTTTGCAGGAAAACAAGCGTGCAGCCATGCTACTTCCATGGGTTGTTTTAAGGGCAGCTGTGTCCACTAGGTGGCCTGGTAAAGATGTGTCACTCCAGTGATGGAGAGGTAGTGTGCAGTGCTCTTTTCTGTACCAGGGCCTTCTCACACATACCAGTCCCTCTGCCTGGTCTACAACTACTCCTCCTACAAAACTGTTATTATTCCCATAAGAAAGGCAGGTAAACTGACCCCAAAGGAGGTTTGAGGACAAGCTCAGGGTCTAGAACTTGCTCATGTCCAGGCGCAAACTTTTGACCATGATACCTCAATGGCGAGATAAGGAGCTGGGCTCCTGGTGCTACCAGGGGCGCCAGTGTGCAGTTCTGTGCGACACCTTGAGCCCTTGCCGTATGTCCATGCTTCTCTCTGTTACCTCCTCTGTGCTCACCATGATACTGTGAGGGCCAGGCACTGATATTATTACCACTTAGACCCGATCCCTCATCCCTCCACGGGCTGGCCTTGGGTTCTGAAATCATCTCTTTTCCATTCTTGACAAAGGCGTGCTACCAGGGTTCCACACCAAGCTGGCCAGTCGGCTGTGAGTCTGGAGGACAGAAGTCCTAGAAATCCCAAAGATCTGTTCCTTATAGGAAGCACAAATGGATTCAATTGTGTCTATATTATACTCAGCCACTGGGAGCCCTTAAATTATGAATGTATAAGTTATGCCCCTTTATTTTTCAAGGCTGTAAAACTATTTGTTGAAAGTGCCTTCTGCTCAGGCCATCTTCACAGATAATAATCAAGTCACACCACTTTCCCATGAATTATGTATTAAATACACATCTGTAAAATTTTCCCATAAACGCTAGAACTTTGAACATATGGGGCTTTAATTGGACACTAAATCAATTTTCCTATGTCTGTTAATGGAATTAAAAAAATTCTTAGCTTTATTTAAAATGTCTGTCCTTGTTAAATGATAAAAAAAGAAACCCTCAGACTCCTACAGTTGTGACCTCTGTTGCCTGCTGGTCATGCTCATTTTGTACAGTTCAAATCTCAGCCCAGGTCCTGTGATAGAGAGATTAAAATGCTTCTTGGTGAATAGAACGGCAGAGAGCTCAGACAGCTTTGGAAAGTAAAAGGTGAAAAAGTGCTCAATTTACTGGGGAGATTTGCACGTGTGGTGCTGAACAGAGGGTTCAGAGACAGCTGTGGGGAGCATGGGATGGAGAGATGGAAAGGAAAGGGGAGGAAGAGCAGAGGGAGAGACAGTCGTGACCGTGAGAATTATCTGCTCTCTGTCAAAGTTTTCACCTCCTTGGCTCATTTAATCTTTGTTCCTAGCCTATGAGATATTGGATCCACGGTACAGATGAGGAAACTGCGGTTTAGGGAAGTTGTGGGGTTTTCCTAGCATCATCTACAGTTGCAAACCAAGACTCAGCTCTGAATGGTTCTGGCCTCCTGCACTTTTCTCTTTCCCACCTGAGGAGGTCTCAATAGCCAATTTGTAGAATTTTGTTGGGGCCACACTTTCCTGATAGATAGCAAGGCACTTAATGCGATGCTAATATGAATGGGGTTTCTAGATAAATGCTATAATTTCTTAGTGGGCTCTGGGATAAGATAGAAGACCTCATATCTTGTGAAGAGATGAACTCTGTGTCAGTGGAGGTAATCAAGGGCAACTCTGATAACTCCTCTGGGATACTACAAGTGAACTTGGACATCCCTACAAGTGGATGAAGGGAAGGGTCTTAAGCTCTTTCAGAGGAAAGACCATGTGAGGACACAGGGAGGAAGGCAGTTGGTCATCTTCAAGGGAAGGAGAGGGCCTCAGAGCAGAAGCAATGCTTCTGAGTCCTTGAGCTCGGCCCTCTAGCATCTAGAACAGAAACAAATTTCTCCTGCTAAGCCACCAGTCAGCAGTGTGTTGTTATAGCAGCCCTAGAAAAATAATGCACCGTTTCCACAGGAATCCAGTGGGTCACACATTCAGGGCATAGCTGATCACAGAGTCAAGCATCGAGAGATGTGGAGCACGCACATGGTCCCGCTTGCTCCTGTAAGCTCTGAGAACACCTTGGCGATTCCTTGTTTATGCCTCAGATTCCCCAACCACAGCCAGCCATCACGTTTGCTGTCCTGAGTCACAGACACAGCACGCAGTCTTTCACCTCCTTAAACACAGGGGCTGCAGCCCTGTCCTGTCCTGTCCTAGCCATCATCCCTTTGAGCTCTAGGACAGGACCACTCAACTTTCCTCTCTCTATGGGGCCTCACTTGGGAAGACTGAGTTGCCTGAGGCAAATCTTCCTTCAACAGCCACCCTACAGTGAGCACTGCTGGTGGCCAGACCCTGGGCTTTGCAGAAGTCATCTCCTGGGAATCCTGCAGCAGCAACCTCACAAGGTAGTGATGTCATCTCCCATCTTCTGTAGATGAGAAAAGTCAGGGCCCCAGAGTTCCACGCTATGCACTCAACTAGGGCCAAACCGGTGCAGCTCTGACCTCAAAATCAGTTTTCAAACAAGTTAGCCACTTATCAAAAGCATAGATATTCCTTGACTTATGTACGATAGGGTTATATCCCTGTACATCCACGGTGATATGAAAATACTGTAAGTTGTAAACGCATTTAATACGCCTAATCTTTTAAACACCACATAGAGGATTATACTGTGTATCCCTATCTGAGAACAAGATCAAAATTCAAAATCTGAAGTATCATTTCTAAGGAATGTGTATCGATTTCACACCATCGTAAAGTTGAAAAATTGTAAGTAGAAGCATCAAAAGTTGGGAACCATCTGTACTTGAAATCTGGGCTCAGTGATGAGTATGACGGCAGTAACAGATCTGACTACAGTGTGTTCTCACTGGATCCTCTCCACAGCCCCATTGAGAGGTGCCCTCACTCCCTCTTCCACACGAGGTGGCTGCGCACTGGTCGCATGGTTAACGGGGCGGGGCGGAAGCCAGGATGTGGAGCCGAGTTCCTCTGCTCTTAATCACCGTGCTAATAATTACTGAGTACGGGCTCCTGCTGGGCTGGGCTCAGCAACCCTTCTGTGATAACCCTGCCGTGAGGTGTCTGAGAGGCCCAGAGGTAGGAGGCTGGGCTCGACTTCCAGCCTCCTTGCACCTCAGGTCTCTTTGCTCTGCCCCTGTGTTTTTCTGTCACTCCAGTTCAGCCTTTTCCTACCTCGGGGCTGCCCCCAGGTGCCCCCGGAGGACTTCTCTACCCTGATAGGTGGAGCCTTCCTGGTGAGTGACGGACAGTCAGGCATTCACTGGGGAATTAGCCCTGGTATGGCCTCAGTGCTTATTTTTTCATTATTTTGATTCCGAGCTTCTGCAAATTGAGGACTCAGCAGCACCA